TCTCTACTGGCTGTGGCTCTTTCCCAGTTCAGCAAAATCTGCTATGTCTCACACAGTAGTTCTATGAGGCTGTGCACAGCCCTTTCGCACGCTGTGCTGTTGCAATCGTTCTTTAATGGCTCAGAAGAAGAGCAAAGGAATCAATAGTTTTACTTGATACAACACCTGGGATTTAATTGGGTCTCATCCACATGCTGAGCTTGCACCACTGTGCCAACAGAGCCTTCTGCGGTGAAGTTCCAATCCCTCCTGTCATTTTTCTGAAAGTTGTTGGTAATGATCCAGACTCAGTCTCTCTCTCTCCTCTCTCTCTCTCATGACAAACCACAACGAAGCAACAAAGGAAACACAGAATGTCTCTTTCTCTTGTGTGGCTGCTACATGAACTTTTAAAAAGGATCCGGCGCTCCTTCTTAGGAGCAGGAGATACAGAGCATGAAAGGAAAACAGAAAGATGAGAGCTGGGGGAAATAAATAGAAAAGGACAAAAGATTGGGGTGGAGAGGGAGGGAATGCAAATAGCTAATGAAAAAGTGGCAAGAAACAACTGGAGGAATTTTTTTTTTAAAAAAATTGCATAGGACCTTAGAACTCACTGACACCTTATCTGCATTTTTTCTACATGTTTCTTTTTTTGCACCGAATTCCATTTTTATGGACTTTTCTTCTGTTGTTTTTGTGCCAGCATGAATGACTCACATCTGCTCCCATTCCTGTTTTCTCCTGCAAGGGAAAGCTTTACTTAGATCAAAGATGGGAAGCCTATGGCCCCCTGGACCTCACTGAAATGTGAGCCCCGGCCAGTATGTCCAATGGTCAAAGATGCAGAGTGTTATGGTTCAGTAACATCTGGAGGGTTACAGGCTCCCCATCCCTGCCTTAGATAACAAATGCCTCCAGTAGTTGTGCAAAGAAAATTGGGATGGGTCCTAAAACATGAGGTGTAACTCCCCCCCCCCCCCGTTGGGGAGCAAGTGAGACTTAATCTAGCAGAGTTTTAGGGTTCTTTCCCATTTTTGCTTGCACCAAAGCTCCCATTGATCTAACAAAAGCCTGGTAGCCAAGGTAAGAATGTATTCCCAGTATGGATATGCATCAGTTCCAGTCTTTACTAGAGTCTAAATGGCAAAAAGCAAGTCGATTACACTTGCTGACATTTCCTCTTGAAGCAAAAGGCCAAACTAGATGTGATGTCAAAGCCACTTGAATGCATCTCCTGGCTTTTTCCTTTTCAAAAATTCACTTAAAGCCATGCAGAGAATTTGGAAGTTGGCTTCAAAACAAAACAAAACAAAACACACCTTTCCCCTAGGCTGATTCATCAGTACAAATCCCACCCCCAGAACAGTTCCTGGGGATGATCTGCCTTGGTGAACTGGCACAAGGCTCAGAGCACCTCTCTGCAACTGCTTTTAGCAACCAATAAACAAATAAACAAAAGTGTCTAATTGGGCCCTAGAGATACTCCATACAGTAATGAACAATTACACACCAGTTCACCAGATACTAACGGTGCTCCCCATAATCTGTGAGGCCCACAGCTGTTGTTTTGACTGCATGTACACTCTGTGTCCAGGTTGTGATGACCTAGAACTAATGGCATCTTCCTGGTTCACATAGTGAGAAAAACATAGCACGAAGCGAGGAACCAATGGTATATTGGCACATCCGTCCTTCTCCAACTTTGTCAACATTTTGGTGCCAGGTTAACATGTTCCTCTATGCCCAGGAATTTGATGGGACAGAATGAATACTTTGAAGTTGTTTATTCATGCTAGTGTTTTTCCCCCTACTGGGATAGTGTGAATATGATATGGTTTATACCATTTTATATTGTCATCGTCTTCTTTTTTGTACAATTCAATCTGCTGTTAAGATGCCTTAAAAAGAAATGGGCACTTAGGAAATGTAGTGAACTCAACTGTATTAAACAAAACCACTCTGATTGTATGTGCAGCCGGCATCACCCACACAGTATAGGCTGCAGGAGCTGAGCCCTGCTCTCCAGGGCTCCTGACTAGCATCCCAGGCATCTCTTGATAAAGAACTTCATTTGCCAGAAAGAGATCTGCTCTCTGCTGAAGAGTGTAATTTTATTTTTAAGTGCTCATGACAGCACTAGAAGCTCACATCTCCTCTTCCAAATCCAGTAATTAAATTCCACCTACCTGAATTTCCCCCTGCTGTTTCAGTCGGACAAATTAATCTTCCTAGCATGCATTTAACTGCTATCTGAAATGTTAAGCAGTTGCTTCTTTTCAAACAAGAGGGGGGAATTAAGTGACCCTGCCTATGTGCACTGCAAGTTTGCAACTTCCAATGAAGTGTTTTCAGATTCTTTCAGCTAGGACATTCTCCTCCTAAGAAATCTGAAAAATCCATTAGAGCAGAGGAACTTATTCCGCTTCCCCTCATTGTAGATAAACATTTTTGCAGGGTGGTCCTAGCACAGAAGATGCCTGAATGATATTGACTCTGGTTTGTCCACCCTATTGGAGGAAGCTAGTCTGTTGGTGCAAAGGTGGCCCTGCGCCACCAGTCTGCTTTTACACAGCCCCCACCTGCCTACCTTCTTGCAACTAGTCCATAATGGACCCCTGGTTGCCAGCTCCCGGTTCTCAATTTTGCCTTTGTAGATCTCAGCAGGGAGCAAGATGGGGACAAACTGAGAATTAGTTTGCTGTACCCATCATTGGCTCCATCTTGCCTCCTGCCCTTTCCACCCCAATGGACACCAACCACCCCTGTATGTCATGCACTGGCTCTCCAAACAGTTAACCTTTCTGCTGAAAACTTGGCACCAGTTTACTTGAAAGGTCGCCTTGTCCTATGCATGCCTATGGAACCTGCACTTTGACTCTGGATGAAATCAGTGGGTGGAGATTCCTTTGATAAATGAAGGACTTCCCTTGAAAACAAAAAGAGCGAAAAGACCTCAAGCTCTCAGGTGTCTACCTTCTCAGATTCTTGTACTTCAAGGAAAGTCCAGGGGAAGTTGTCATGAGGCAATTCGTCCCATGGGGCCCTTCCAGGAAGCACACTGCATCTATTTCCAGAGCCCACCTATGCGCCGACTTGAGGATTCATAAAGCATATACAGTCTCCATTCTTCAAATTGTACTAATTTGGGTTGCAAGCATAGCACAGAATTTTTGATAGCATCCTTTGCTGTGATAGAAAAGGCAGGTGTATTTTTTAAAAAGGACACGTGGACAGCTGGGAAAACACAGGATGAATGTTTAATGGAAAGAGACACACACACTGCCCTCACTTTACACATAATTGCAAAATTTGTGTTCTTTAACGCTGAATGGTTTAACCAACATTTTATCTGCTTACAGAATTGCAAGGCTGGGTGGAAGCAGCAAATCTAACCCTGAGAGGAGCTTCCACATTCAAATCTTCCTGACATATATGTTTGCATGATTGACATCTAAGACTAAGAGGCAATATGTGGAGGTGCAAGTGAGGCTTTTAGGACATTGGGCAAGGTTAGTAAAAACAGATCCATCTGGAAGTAAGCAAAGTCATCCTTTGCTGCAGGGAAAGATGAATTTTCTTCCTTGTTGCCAGTTAAGCTGTTCTGGGAAAATGTTTCTCTCCTGACCATAAAACGACAAGCAGTTAAGACTCCTAAGAATCAATCATCTCTGCAGACATTATGTGATGTCACTATAATATCATTCTATTCTACTTGGGGTTTGTGGCAACTTTATTAACTGAGATGGAGATAAACTTTATTGCTCTGGAAATATATTTATGTTTAGGCTTGTAAAGTAAGAATTTTGCCTCCAAACTGGAAGATTCCTCCTCCCACCACTTTTCAGACTCTGGATGCACCACAAATGACTTTGGTTGGAATCCTAACCCCAATTTTGTTTTGTTTTTTTAAGTAAGCCCCATTGAATTAAACAGGACTTCTGAGTAGATGTGGTTCAGGTCAGGCTGCCTGTTATGTGTAGGAAGGGGGAGGCAATACGAATCTGCGTGCTGGTCATTTTCCTGGACTTACTTGCCACAGGGCTTGTGGATGAACCACAGACAAACTGCTGAGCTCCGTCAAAGCAGAGTGCTGCAGGCTCATTACATTCTTCCTGACAGTGCTCTCTCAGGACTGGTTTGCCCACGCAATCAACTTCTTTATGTGATCCCGCCCAAGTGCCCCAGGGATCATAGCAAGAGGAGAATATCGCAGAAAGAAGCAGCACTCCATGGATACACTTACGGGAAGCACACTGCAAAACCTGAGCTCCTGCCATCTTCCTGTTTTATGCTAGGCCACTTCAATCATGGGAAACCTAGGGAGATTCTGTGCGCATTTTCCATGCAGCCTTTACCTGTGGGGGAGGAGGCCATGATACACATGTGAGAAGCAGCAGGTGGGATGTTTCTGCACACCTGTGAATATTGTGAATGCAGGGCAAGCAACAGAATAGGCTTTGTTTTTAATAGGATGTATGATCCTGGCCAACGTTCAAATCAGTTGCAAAGGATAGCTGTGGAAACCAAAAATGAAATAGGGAGGAGAAATAAAAGGAGATGAAACAGGGTGACCGGAACATGCTTACCCTAGTGTGTTTACGAGGAAGTAAGTTTCACTGAATCGTCAAGTAACAGTGTGCCCAAGATTGCACAAGTGAATCCCTTAATCAATATGCTAACAAAAAGCTTTAGACTTCAGTCCTCTCCAAGTTTAGGGAACTCTTTGCAGTAGAAAGAGTACTGGAGGGGCCAGTATCTTGGGAACTCTATGCTGCATGCTGTGAAGAGTCACCAAATAATCAGACTGAGCAGCCAGCTTTGTTTTATAGCTCCTTTATTTTGTACTTACCTTTGCTGCGATTCCAGGGCTCTCTCTCGTGCGTTTGCTATTTACGCTTTACAGCCTTGCCTTTTACAAAATTAATACAAATTGGCATTGCGTTTTAAAAAGAAGTGCTATGGGACTAAGGGTTGTGTAGGGGCCGCTGCAGCCTCAGGACTTGCCGCCCCATCCCGCCATGGCACAGGCGGAGAGCCCATTCCCGCCGCCCCCCTCGCCCAGCTCCGGCGGCGAGCCCGGCCATTCCTCGCCCAACCAACTCCGAAACGCTCCAAAGTTGCTGCGTGCGGCGCCTCCCTCCCCGCGCCGTCGGGCCGCGCTCGCCTTCGGCTCCGCCAGCCGCCAACTCCGCCAGCCGCGGCACGGAGCCAGCTGGGCGCCCGGCACTCCGGGGCGCCGCCACCGCCGCGCTCCCGCCCCTCGCTTGCCTCCGATCCCCGCCGGAGCCTTCGCGGAGCCGCGGCGATCTCGGCCTCGCAGGGCGCTGCCGAGCAGAGCGACGTCTCCCAAGCGGCTTCCAAGCGGCTGGCGGGCAGGCTTGACCCGGGAGGGCGCCGAGCGCGCTGTCTGCGCGTCCGCAGGGGCGTCTCGGCGGGAGGTTGCTTTTTCGGGGGGCGCCCCTCCTATTCCCCAGGGCCGATCGGGAGGCAGCGGGAAGGCGAAGCGCTGGATCGGCTTAGGAGTCGGCGTCAAGCGGGCGCCTCCTCGTCCCCGCTCGTCTCCGGCGGATCCAGGCGGGGAAGGACGCCCTGCCTTGAAGAGCCACGACGCAGGGGCACCCAGGAGCGCCCGCTGCCGCTTCCCGGCGCGTCGCGATCAGGAGGAGGAGGAGGACCCCCCGCTGCCTGTTTCTCCACCCCCGGCCCCTCCCACGCCGGCTTCCTCCTCCTCCTCCTCCTCCTTCTTCTCACCCCATGCAGGGAAGACGGCCCGGGACTCCCTTCGCCTCCTCCTGCTGGAGGCGGGCTCGTTCGCCATGCCCCTAGCGGGGGTTCGCGGGGACTCATCCCGCCCGTAGTGGGAGGCAGGGTGCCGGCCGGCTCCACCCTCTCCCCGCCGCCTGGCTGCCTCGCGGAAAAGACGGAGAGGACTTTCCCCACGCGGCGTCTCCTCCTCCTCTTCTTCCTTCTGCTAACCATGCGACGGCTGAGCCGGAGGCTGGCTCTGTCTGTCTTGGGGATCTTGTGGATCGCGGCTCTGCTGCTCTTCTTCGGGACCAGGAAGAAGTTGGAAGTGGTGGGAGCCGAAGGGCAGACGCCGAAGGTAAGTTGGCGCGTCTCTCTCTGTGACTTCTTCGAGGGGAAGCGGCGGAGGGTGCGCGCGAGTCTGTTATTGGACGGAGTGGGAAATAGAGACAAGGCTAGGTTTGAAGTGTCTATATGTAGGTGCAGAGCCAGGCTTTTTGGAGAGGTGGCTTCGAAGCTGGCCGGGAGCGAATGAAACATGCATGTACACGCGCTTACACACACACACAGGCGCGCATTCTCACGCGCACTCTCTCTCTCTCACACACACACAAACACACACATCTCCATATGCATTGGAAAGCGGCCAAGTTGTTTCGATCCTGAGCGCCTCAGCCTTGCAAAGTCCACGTGGTGACAGACACCTGCTTGCCGGCCAGCGTCTTGCTCGAGTCGAGCTTGGGTTCCAACTTCTTTGCAACAGTTTCCACGGGCGAAGTGCGCCTCCTTTCTCGGCTTCCCAATGAAAGAGGAAGAGGGCTCTCTAAGCCAAGTGTAAAAAGACTGAACGGAGGAAGGGAGGGAGGGAGGCAGGCGAGGCAGTTCTTCAGAAAGCGACCGCTGATGACTTACTCTAGGCGACTGTTACTGCCATCCTCTCCATCACCTCTAGAAACGGTGGCGATTTTTTCTTTTTTAATGTTTAGGTTCAAGGACATGGAAAGTGGAACATGAATTCCACCTGTTTTCTTTTTTTCTTTTGCCAACTCGCAAATCTAAATGTAGCCTTATGCATAAAGACCATCCGGTTTGGTTTCTTGGCTCGCTTGGGCTGAGCAAAGATTGAAGCCAGCAACCCAAGGCAGGCGCTCCGTTCCAAATTGGACCCCGAGTTATGCATCTGGCATCAGGAAAGGAGGAGATAAGGAGCGTTTAGGTTGGGTGGAAGCCGGAAACCTCATCCAAGAATGATGCGTCCTGCCCCTTGAAGTGCAGCACTTGTTTGGAGTGGATATGCAGGGGGGGTTGTATTCTGCCCTTCCTCTCAACTCCACCCATCCCCCCCAACAAATGATGCTAAAGCCTTTTGAGTGTGGAATGGAGTCGCTTGTAAACTCTGATACTTCGGGACAGGAGAAAGGCGGACAGCCAGTTTTTAAACCAAATGAACGTTTAAGCAATGTGGATTTTACATTCAAATTTGCAGAAGTGGGAACAGCGGGAACGCAATTGTTAGTGCCATTTGTGAAAATGGTCTTAATGCGTTGAAAATGCTCCAGTTTAATAGCACCTATTGCTGTCTTGGATGGTTAAATGAATGACGTTTAAATTGTGTCCCTACACCCCCCCCCCCCATTTCCCAGATCTGTAATTTGAATTTAAAACTCAGACTGGCAAGTATGTGCGTTTGATATTAAAATCATCGCTCTACCATTTTCTTTCCTGCAGCAAAAATGTTTACAAGGGATGCATTCCAAACTGTAGTATGTTCAGTATAAAAGTGTTTCACTTCCATTTTCAGTTCCACATTGACAGCATTCGCATAACATGAGATACAAATACTTTTTTTTTTTTTGGATTCTCATAAGAAAACACTGTTACCTTAAAAAATGCTTCACAACTTGGTCATGTGCATGTTTACTGATAAGTGTTCGAATCCTATGCACACTCTCATGGGTCCTTATCTTTAATGTATCTGTTCTGGGACTTTAACTCTGTAGTGCAAACCCATTTAATTAAGTTACTCCTGATCGATGTCAGCCTAGATGGGGCTAGACAGTCTGCACTGAAGATATTTCTGCATTCTTTCTGTGTCGTTCGCATAATTTGAAGCACTTCTCAGATGTAAAGTATTCTTACTAGCACAGGGGTCTGCAACCCGTGGCTCCACAGCCGCATGTGGCTCTTTTACACCTTTGCCACGGCTCCGGGGCGGATACTAGCGAGGGGAGGAGGCGCATTGTGCGCCCCGACACTCCCCACTGTGGCGGGCGCTGTACTGGCTGTGCCGACGCATGGGGGGGGTGCGTGCCTTAGTCACGCACCGCCCCGACGTCACCTTCCCGCCCGCTCGCTACATTGTAAGGGGCATGTACGCTGGTCACTGTTTTGAAGGGGAGTGAAGAACACACACACACAAAAAGGTAACTTGTTAATTTAACGTTTATTTCTATGAGGAGGAGTAATTCTGAGGGGTCAAACAAAGAAATAATAAAAAAGTGACAAAAAAGTTATTTTTATAATGATGAGTTTTGCGGCTCCCAGTTTTTTTTCCTTCGGAAATGGGTCCAAGTGGCTCTTTTTGTCTTAAAGGTTGCAGACCCCTCTACTAGCATATGGAACTTAAGCAAACTTTTCTCTGTTTCTGTGATGGCTAGAACTCACTAAGATTCTTCTGGCTGCTGTGTTCAGATCTGCGGCGTATTTATTGATCATGATTTTATTGATCACGCATGTGGAGTTCAGTTTCAACTCATAAGCTGCATGTGCAGAGTTGGCCCAGTACAGATGGAGAACTTGTGGCCCAGAGATACTGTTGGACTCCAGTTCCTATCCGCCCCAGCCAGCATGTAGTCCAGCTCTATCTGGAAGGCTGCAGGTTGTCGACACCTGCAGTACAGTTTACACTACCTTTATGCCAAGCAAAATGCAGACAGCCTGTGGCCTCACAATCCAAGGTATGATGGTGCAAGGTTTTCCCATCCTTCATCAGACCTACATTTGCAGATGACAAATAAAGCACTATTCTGAGGATGGGCTCACACATGTGTGTACATGACAGCACTTGATTTCTCTTTGTTTGATTGTCGCATGGTTGATAAGGCTTAACAGAATGCGTGAACAGAGTCTGTTGAATAGCATTCCAGTGGCAGAGGATGATATAGAAGTTTTATCTGCAGTGTCTGTGTTGGCACATTTGTACATGGAAGCCATCAATGGATGTTGGCAGCCATCAAGTGATGAGTGTATCTGCCCGAACTGCCCTGAGACGGGGAGAAATTTCCTTTATATCATCTTTGTTTTTCATTCCCTCTCCCTTTTTAAAATGAAAAAGTCTGCAAATTGCACTTGTTCTAATAACTTTTCATGGTGCAAAAATGGCTTTTGGTGTGTGTGCTGTCTGCCAAAGGTTACCCCATTTGTTCAGTTCTAAGGTTAATGATTGCCCAGTATGGATTCACAGCAGTGGACAATTTTTCTGTGCTGTATTCTTACATTAACTTACAGCTTGATTTAAAAATAAAAAAAATCAGTTAGTGAACGGAAAGCTCTGAATTTCTGTGCCTTTGGTGCAGTCTAAATGAGTAATAATAAAACTGATGGGCAGTGTCTTAATCAGGATTTCCACTAATGTCAACGTCTGGGAATGTCCTGGGGAGAAAGCAGCAGAGCACTGCAAAATCTTTCCTCCTTGTCCCCTGCAGGAGGCATCACAGTTCCTTTTCCTTCGCTCTTCCCCGTTCCTTGAGCAAATGTCAAACGGCTTGAATTCTGTCTGTCTTCACGAAAAAAGCAACAACACGGGCGCTTAAATCTTAAGGCTGCCTTTAAATCACAACAATGCATATAAGACCTGTCTTTTCATGATAGTGCCTTCCTGTTTTTGCAATGAACAAGCAGAACATGCAATGGAGGGAGATTTCCCAAATTTGGAGCCCTGCTGAATCCAAATCTGAATGTGCACCTAAAAGATACGCTTTCAGCTTTGACCCTAAAGTCAAGGGTGGTAAACAAGACAGCTCATACCAACTCTTTCCTGGCGTAAACTTTGCTATAGAACTGTTAATTTCAGAACAAGCTGGAGGTGACATCACCATAATGAATGCCACATTTCTGTTAGATCACTCACTACTTCTTGCCAATTTCCTCTAATTGTTTTTTTTAATTGTTACAGTTTGGTATTGGAAATAATACACCCACACCCACCCACCCACCTATGTATTTAAAAGAAATGTTTTCACACTTTACATTGCTTTTTATCTTTTAGCGTGATTGGATGAAACAATGGCCATGTTTGGATGTAACACTCAAACAGTGGTTGATGCAAGTTGGACCCATGATTTAAACTTCAGCACTTTGTGAATGAGTCCAGCCCCTTCCTGGGATCTTGTGTCCCAGTTCCCCTCTCTTCCCCTCTGTGGCTAAGAGGAGACGTTCAGAAGCTTTACATTTTAGTTAACCATAGTTTCCTGTGCTGTCTGGGTCAGTAAAATTGGTTTGACCCTAACGTTGGTTGGTTTCAGCAATGCATGGTTTGAAGTAGGCTTGCTTTGAGATCAGCGGTTATTCATGTTAAATTATGGTTCATGGCGTGGATGACAAAGGAAGATATGGTTAACTAAAAGCAAAAATTTATAAATATATCCTGACCATGCAACGGAGGAGGGGTATATGTTGGGGGTGGGGGAGGTTAAGCTCATACAGGGTGCACAGCAGTGGTTTAACATTACAACCATACCTTTATCTGACTGTCACATGACATGTAATCCATTTTAAAATGATGCATAAGTATCAGAATGTGTTTATTCAAGTGTGTTAATGTTTCAATAACTTACACACTAGGGGTGGGGAACCTTTTTGATCCTTATCTGATCTAGGCTGTTAATCGCCTGAAGTCAGAATGTGCTTTGAAGTCACAAAGTTGGGATTTCAAAGCACCATGTATAGCTCAAGTATGGTGTGCAAGGAAGCTCCTCACAACAACAAAATCATAAATATTTTTTCAGTTTCAGAGTGAGATGTAGTGATTTTGGCAGCCATCTTGCATTTTTACATTTCCATTTTTTTGGCGTCACACAGAAGACTGGCTTGTTATGCTCTATAACTAACATAG